TTATATTATATATTTATATATGTACGTAAGTTACGGTGCATGTGGTTACTATTTGGTGAGCGCTTATCAGCACCATATGAACTGCACAGACATGTTCCATAATCACGTCACGATATATCGGTCAAGATCACTTCTTTTATTTTGATTGTTTATATTGTTATTTTTTCAATTATTTACATTTGAGACATTTTTATTATTTTGTTATCAATTTTGTATAGACAGAGTACAACGACAAAAGAAGAAAACATATGTATATGTTTTAGAGTATGTTTGAATTTTGATAAGGCTGGGGTGATAAGCGACCACATGGGTTAAAAAAGTATTACAAAAAATAAAGTAAAATAAAATTAAATTGAATTAAATGAAATTAAATGAAAGTTAAATTAAAGTTAAATTAAATTACATTTAGTTAAGTTTATTAATTGAATCAATAAATTAATAAAATATTCTTTCGAACAGGAAAGACCTTTTAGTCATGTTCTTAAATGCCTTAATGAACTGCTTTTTAAATATATTCTATATTCTCAAATTTCCTTCAATAATTCACACCTTTGCAATTTTCTCTATATTAAATTATTTGTTTCAAAGCGTATTCACACTGATTCATGCTACATAAATATGCTATATATAGAAATATAATCGACTCAAACCTAAAACGGATGAAAAAAATATAAAAACCGAAGTATGTATCAACTACGAGTGTGACCGCGACAATCCGGCATTATCAATAAGAATACATATATAGACAATTCTTCTGGCTTTTGCAAGTGATGAAATGAACTAAACTAATTCACCGGCCGGAAAAGTATTAGAAAGACAATATACATTTATTATGGATTCATACATATACATGTACATGCCAGTGGCTACACTCGTAGAAAGAAGCACAACTAAGCCAGCTAAAATAAAGCTGAGCTCTGCTCAGTGTCATTTGCGCCGCGACAAAATCGCGACAAGTCAACGGAAATTCAATTTAAACCGAAGCATAGCTGTAAAATATACATATTTGTGGTGAAAAAAGATAAAAATATCGATACAAAATCCAAATCACTTGCGTAAAAACGAAAGCGGAAGGGAAACCTCATTTTGAGCTTCTCCACACACTGCATTTGAATTTTTATTTTTGTTTGCTAGTGCGCCTTTGTTTTGTACGCGGTTTTGGTGGTGAGGCCACAAGCATTCGCCCTTTGGCATCGCTTGAAAAAAGTTCAGTGCGGAATTTCTCATTAGTTGCATAAAAAGCGTTCGAGAGCGCGGACAAAAGTGCTGCAACGCGTGCCGGTGGACATCGAAATATCAGCAGCGCTGTTGTTTTTCGACTACTTACCACCAGCTGTGGCCACAAGCGCGAAACGAAATTAAAATTTCTTATTGCAAGTGCAAATCGATGGAAGCTGAGTTGTAAGGAGGGAAAAAAGGAGCGAAGTATTTTAATTTGAAAGTTTACGGAAAAAAAAGATCAAAAGTTTTTGTTCGGATATTTACGCTACAGCTGCGGTGAGGTTTTTTCAAACTGACTTACAAATTTACGTGCTACTCGTAAATACCAGCTGCTAAGCGGCAGTGTGAAAATGTCGTCAACATGTTATCGGTTACTAGCTGTTATGCTAATTTCGCATATTTTACTAGCGCCGTGTGCCAGGGCGGCAACAATACCCACAGCCGCCACGCTAGCCTCCACCGCCGCCAACAGCGCGCCTAAAGTGAATGTGGAGACAGAGGTGCTGCGTTTCTCATACGAATTGGAGCGCTGGCTTGATACTGACAAGCGACCCTGCCAGGACTTCTACGGCTATGTCTGTGGCAAGACCGTGAACAGCACGAAGGAACAGTTCGAGGCGCGTTTGCAGCGTGAGCAGGAGAAGTTCGATAAATTTCTGAGCGCCAATAATAACGAGGACCTGCTTGATGCTGAGCTTAAGCTGAAACAATTCTATGACTCTTGCAAAAATGCGCGCTCTGTGGAGGAGCTGAAAGAGTCTTTCATGTATAAGCAGAGCGGCGGTTGGCCGGCAATTGACAGTTCAGCGGCGATGTTGCGTCGCCGACGTGGCAAAACCTGGATGGATGTGGTTGGCGCATTTCATGAAGCCGGTGTAAATTATTTCTTCACCCAACGCGTTGAGATTAAGTCCAATAAGCGTACCGTCTATCTACAAGTGGAGGATGTGATGCGCACAACTTTGCGCAAATTTGAGCAATTGGTTGGTGAAGTGTTTGCGGAATATGGTGTGGATGTGGATCGCGGTAGGCTGATCGCTTTGGAAATATTGACTTTCGAAAGAAATCGGCGTGAAATACTGAAAGACGAGCAACAAGAAGACGACACAGAGTATACTTATGTTGATTTTAAGGCTTCGAACTTTGGCGCTTCAGTGCAGATCGATTGGGATAAGTATTTCAAGAGTACACTTGGTAAGCCGCTGAAACCAACAGATATGGTGGTGATACATAAGAAGAACAAATTAGGCAAGTTATTCCAGTTTCTGCAACAGACTTCATTGACGCGACTACTCAACTGGATTTGGATCGATTACTTGATGGGTAAGTAGTAGCTACATAAGCCTGTGGTAGTAAGTATATAATAACGTTGCTTCTCTACCATACGCAGACAAAAGCGCCACGCACTGCCAAGAGTTGGCGAAACAGTTTTTCGAGCCCGTGCACCAACACATTGWGGAACACGCCTATCTGGACAAGGTGCAAATGGCGCAACTCTACTCTAACATCGGCCACGCTTACGACGATACACTGCTGCCCAGCGCTTGGATCGACGAAATGTCGCAGCAAAACTCACATCTCTTTCTCGGACGCGCCATGCATCTCACACTCAACGGCGATGAAAGTCTCGATGCCGATTACGCTAAATTACAAATCAGCAATCGTAACTTCTACCGCAACCTCGAGAAGGTGCAACGCATGCTCGCACAGCAAGGCAAAAGTCAACGCCTAACTACGCGCGTAGGCAACGCCGGCATTGCGGACACCACACAAATTGCGGCGAATTTCATGCACACCTTCGTAAGCGTTAGCGCATTATTGCAGCAGCAAAATCTAACCACACCACTAAGTCAACTGCTGGTGGGCGAGCGCTTTGCTGAGCATATGATCGCTAGCGGCAGCACGACACAGACGGCCGGCGCTTGGCGTAGCATGGAGTCGGAGCGTGAATTTGCCATACTGCGTCAGTGTGTGCAACAGCAATCAGGTGCAGCCGAGTTGCCATACAATTTGAATGAGTTGCTGTTGAAACTGTTGGCACAACACTTGGCGCAGCAGACTTACGAGCAATGGCAGCAGAGCAACGAACGTTTGGTGCGTCGCTTGGATACGCTTTTGGCGGCTGGACGCTTGCAATTATCCATGGCGAAACTCTACTACATCGGCTCAGTGCTGACTGAGTGCGGCGATTATGAGAGTGTGGCACAGAAGCAGCTACTGAAGGGTTATTTGCGCAATTCGGTGAAATTTCGGCAGGCCTTCCGCTGTCGCGCCGCAGATGATTTGAATTCGCGCAATATTTGCAAGGTGCTCTGAGAAGATTGAATGTGGCTTGAGAGCAGGTAATATTATGATGTTGTTTGCTCGCTTTCAATATTTTTAGCTTCGTAAGTCTACAGCAGTTAAAGATGCTAAGTAAATCAGCGCTCTTATGTAATTTGTCCTATTGAGGCATATGCGCATATATATAAAAATTAAATGAAATGTTAAGAAGTAAAATTTAGTAAAAAATTATAAATGAATAAAATACATATAAAAAGGAATAAATTATTGCATTTTTTTTGAGTGTGGACAGATAAATATAAAAAATATATTTCAAGATTAAAAATCAATTTAAAAATTTAATTTAATTCTTAAAAATAATTTTTGTAATTTTGAAACTTAATTAAAAGTTATTTTTCAATCTCAAAAAAAATAATTTTCTTTAAATTTTTGCTATTTTTTTATTTGAAATTTTGTTTGAAAATATTATTTTGCTTTTGTAATAAATATTTGTTAAGTTTGCTTAGTCTTAGGGACAGTTGCAGTAAACTTTCTTCAAGAATAGTAAAGTTATTATTTAGTTAAGTATAAGCACGTGATTTTAACTGTTTTTGCTACTGGTACCAATTTTTTTACTGTATTATTATTAACTGTATATCTATTAATTATTATTAACTGTATATTAATAAAAGTTG